AATCAACTACAACGTATATTGAGGAGTTAAAATAAAAAATAAATAAATAAGGGGCTGGCCTGTGGCTCACTTGGGAGAGTGTGATGCTGACAGCACCAAGGTCGCGGCTTTGGATCCATATATAGGGATGGCTGGTTGGCTCACTTGGAGAGCACTGTGCTGACAATACTAAGTCAAGGGTTAAGGTCTCCTTACCGGTCATCTTTAAAATAAATAAATAAATAAATAAAATAAACACATAATTAAATACATAAATAAATAAATAATTTTAGCTCTATTCCCACAAAGATTACTATCTCCTCAATAAAATATCAGAATTATTTGAATGACTGCAAGGGAATCATGAAGCTGGATCTGTAGGAATTCTGCAACTTGGTCTAGGTCAGGCTTTTTTTTTTTCCTTTTTTTTTTGGCAGCTATACCATAAGAGGATCTGAACCCTTGACCCTGATGTTGTCAGCACCGTGCTCTGAGTGAGCAAACTGCCCAGTCCCAGGTCAGGTTTTCTCAACCTATTGAAAGCTACAGATATTTGGGGATAGATAATTATTTGTCTTGGGGCCTGTCTTGTGCATTATAAAATTTTTAGCAGCATTCCTAGCCTCTATCCCCTAGATGCTGATAGTACACTACCACTTCCAGTTATGAAAGCCAACAATGTTTCCACACATTACCAAATATCCTCTGAGGGGCGTAAAATTATGCCCAGTTGAGAACCTCTGGTTTAGAAGCATGAAAGGGTTGAGTGAAAACCACTTATTCACCCAAGCATAAACTTTTCATTCGAGCAGACCTTTTGAGTTGAGTCTAACAAGAACAATCTTTTAACCCTTTGTTAAGAATTTGAAAGGGCCGGCCCGGTGGCGCACTGCTACAGTGCGCCGCTTGGGAGCGTGGCGGCTCTCCCGCCGAGGGTTCGGATCCCACATACAGACCGGCCGCTCACTGGCTGAGCGAGGTGCGGGCGCAACACCGAGGGTTGCAATCCCGTTGCCGGTCCCGGTCCGGTAAGGGCGCGACACTGAGGGTTGCGATCCGTTGCGGTCACGAAAAAAGACAAAAAAAGGAAAAAAAAAAAAAAAAGAATTTGAAGGCTGGCCAGTTAGCTCAATTGGTTAGTGTATGGTGCTGATAACACCAATGTCCAGGGTTCGGTCCCTATACTGGCCAGCCACCAAAATAATAACAACAACAACAACAGCTATCACATGTTTGATGCCAAATCTTGTATTAGGTGTATTATCTCTGATCTTCAGATTGGCTGTCAAGTAAGTTCTAGTAACCTCATTTAACAAACAAGGAAACTGAGAATCAAAAGGCCTCCTGGTTTAATCAAGGTCATACAAAGACTAAGCAATGAAACTGGGATTAAAATCCAGATCTGCAGGTTTCTAAGCCCTGTCCTCTTTCCACACTCCAAGCTACCTCTCTCAAATCAGTTTTCTTGCCTTTGCTGTTGCCTATGAAGATGACATTTGGATTTTCTCCTCCACACAAACAGAATGTACTGCACCTCCTCTTGAAATTTAAGCTATACAACAAGCTTGAATAAAAATAACCTCCTTCAGTAGATCAGAGCGCAGTCTTATAACACCAAGGTCACAGGTTCGGATCTCTGTATTGGCCAGCTGCCAAAAATTAAAAAATAACCTCCAGAAAGTTAATATTTTAGGGCACATTACACATTCCAAGGTGCTGCAAATGGATGCCTGTGATATGCCCTTGTAACCCACTAATAAGTTAGCTTTATCAACCATTGTTGCAAAACTGGAGAGTCTCTCATGGTTCTGCTGAAGACGACATTTGTTCTCAGAGAACTGAGTCCTCCTCAGGTCAAGGCAGCTTTGACCTCTGCCCAGCTTTAGTTTTCTTGGGACAGGAAGTTCCTGATCATAAGGAAGCTTTTAAAGAAACAAGGCAGATGTCAGAAAATTTATAGACCCTAGACTGGATCATCAACACGGACCATCAACATCTGACAACCCACTCCCTCTCCTAAGATGTTCCTGAGTTCCTGGCCCCTCCTGTCCACCTGTGTTCTTTACTGACCATTCTCTGATGTGATGTGCAGCAATAGCTGACTAATTCAGCAGCCAAGGTTGAGAAACACTGGTTATATGATAATTTCAGAGATCCTTTACTTATTATCACAAAAGTAATGCTCACTGTTAAATTCTGGAAGCTGCAAAAATTATCAAGAAGAAACAGTTCAGATCCCCATAACAGCCAGCCACCAAAAAACCCCCCAGAAAAAACAAAGAATGTGTAGTCAGTGTGGAAGGGGATTCTACAAGGGCATGACTACAGGGAGGCACGGTGTATCAAGGCCTGTTACTGTAACCATCTACCCACAGGTGCACATTAGAATCACCCAGGGAGGGCCGACCCCATGGCGCACTCGGGAGAGTGCGGCGCTGGGAGCGCAGCGACGCTCCTGCTACAGGTTCGGATCCTATATAGGAATGTCTGGTGCGCTCACTGGCTGAGCACGGTGTGGGCGACACCACACCAAGGGTTGCTATCCCCTTACCAGTCACGAAAAAGACAAAAGACAAAAAAAAAAAAAAAAAAAATCACCCAGGGAGCTTTGCAGAAGCCCCATGCCCAGCCCATACCCCAGACTAATTAAGTAACAATCTTTTGGGGTGGGAAAGTGTGACTGATTCCAGGACCCCCCACAAATACCAAATTCTATGGATGTTCAATTCCCTTATATAAAATGGCATATTTGCATAAACTTACACACATCCTGCTATATACTCTAAATCATCTCTAGATGACTTAATAATACCTAATATAATGTGAATGTTATGTAAATAGTTGCTATACTGTATTTTAAAATTTGTATTACTTTTTATTGTTGTATTGTTATTTTTTATTGGTTTTGTTTCAATTTCTTTCTTTTGGCAGCGGGCCTGTACCGGGATCTGAATCCTTGACCATGATGGTACCATCACCATGCCCTAACCAACTAAACTAATAGGCCAGCCCTGTTTTCATATATTTTTGGTCCACAGTTGGTTGAATCTGTGTATGCAGAACCTGCAGATCCAGAGGGCCAACTGTAATACAATCTTGTTTCCTAATTTTTTCACTTATTATATCATAAATATTTTCCTATGTCATTCAAAGCTTTATGACCATAATTTTTCCTCTTAATATATTAATGACCTCCAATTGTGAATGGTCTCATTTAAAGTCATGCATCTCCTTATAAGGAAACTAATTACCTTAAGTACCTAAAAACAGACTTGAATGAAGCAGTATAAATTCCATAAAAATTATTTTATCACAAATCTATACAAGCATTCATTTTTTTGAGGTGAAAACTCAAAATTTCTTTGTGTAAATACCTTAAGTTGAGCACAACTGAAATACTAACAGTGCTTTTCAGAATAGACACTTAGAGGGCACACAGCAGGATGGTGAGAAGCATAAAGAATGACCTTATTTTTTAGACTCTTTTGGAAGATTTATTAACTCCTTTGAACCATACACTTAGTCATTAAATTGCTTCATTCTGCTACTACTGGTAGATTCTGAAGGGGCCTGCCTTACAGCATGAGGCAACAGTATTTAGTTTCTTAATTTTTAATGATAATTGAGATGACTTGTTTGGCAAGTGAGAAAAGGCCACATATTCCAGTATTTAATAAGTAATAATAACATGTATTGAGGGATTGTTTTCTTTTTATTTTATTATTTGTTTTAATTTTCAGATGCCAAAGCCATCGTCTTTGATGAAGAATTTGCAATTTTCCTCAAAAAGTCGTGGAGTAGTTCAGCCAGCAGGGGGAGATTGGAGAGTCTTTAATACCTGAGCCAGCCAGGTATTTGGTTTTGGGATTAAAAGTGTTCCTAAAATGTGGTCAAACCTGTCTTGCTGCACAAAATTATTCCTGTACCATAGCCACACAGACTTACCAACTATGTGAGGGTTTTTTTTCTCATTTTCAAATATGGAAATACTATTTAGTTTGGAAACCTTCACAACATATTGTAAAGGTTTCTAAGTTAAGTGGTATTTCTATATGTGAAAATGGGAAAAAGTCATTGAGTAAGAAAGAGAGGATAAAGAAAAAAATAAAGTAGTTAATGTCCAGTAAGTTGAAAGGACAGTGCTTTGAAGGCCAATTAAGTCGATACAAAATGAAATAGAGAATGATCGCAGTGGTTATAGGTTGCATCTTGGGAAATAAAAGAACCATCCTCTAAACAATATTTTCTTCAGAGCCAGATGAAGCTCTTTTGAGGTCCCCAGCCCTGGAAAGGCTCTTCTTTCCCAAAACTCCAATGTGGAATTCAAAATAAAAACAGGGGCCGGCCCATGGCTCACTTGGGAGAGTGCAGTGCTGACAACACCAAGGCCACGGGTTCGGATCCCATATAGGGATGGCCGGTTAGCTCACTGGGAGAGCGTGGTGTGGACAACACCAAGTCAAGGGTTAAGATCCCCTTACCGGTCATCTTTAAAAAAAAAACAAAAACAAAAATAAAAACAAAATAAAAACAGTAGTAATATACTTAACATTTCACTGAGCTATACATTAATGATCTGTGCAATTTACAGTATACCTCAATAGAAGGCAAATAAAACACAGAAGGTACATATATGTGCTGAAGTTAAAATAACTTTTTTGGGGCCGGCCCGGTGGCGCACTGCTACAGTGCGCCGCTTGGGAGTGCGACGGCGCTCCCGCTGAGGGTTCGGATCCCACATACAGACCGGTTCCCGCTCACTGGCTGAGCGAGGTGTGGGAGCAACACCGAGGGTTGCGATCCCATTGCCGGTCCGGCCCAGTGCAGGCGCGACACTGAGGCTTGCGATCCGTTGCCGGACACGAAAAAAGACAAAAAGGAAAAAAAAGTAAAATAAAAAAAATAACTTTTTTGTTAGTGCCCTTCTAATGCAGCACTGATTCTCATAGAAAGAAAGAAATAAAATTAGAACATAACATTATTATATTATAAATAGTTTCATCACCATGCTCATAACTTACTTAGAGACTGCAATAGCTTTAACTTGTATTTTTCCATCAGGCAGAGTAATAGGTTTTGTATACTTAAAGGTATTATTTTCACCATAACCAATTCTCTTTAGAAATTCAGGTTTGCTGCCATCCAGAGTATAATATATGTTGACATCTGGGGTATCTGAAAAGTCCAAAACAGGATAACTATAATTACCATTAAAGGAGCAAGTCCCTGAGTAACATGTATTGGTCAGTTATTTATTTAAAAAATTTTTTTTAGTGGCTGGCCAGTCCAGGGATCTGAAACCTTGATCCTGGTGTTAACAGCACCGCAGTCTAACCAAGTGAGCTCTAACCAAGGCCAACCCTGGTCAGTTATTTATAGGGATTGTATATATATTATAGAAATGAATAATAATAATTAACAATAATCAATTCTTTCACTGTGCTTTGCATGAGTAAGCTCATTTCACTGAATAAGCTCATTTCATCTGTACAACCCTAAGAGGTATGGGTATAATACCCATATTATACATGAGGTAACTGAGTTCCAGAGAGATTGAGAAACTTGCTAAATAATAGAGAAGTCATGGTTTGACTTCTGTTAGGTTGGATCCACAGCCCATGCTTGTGAATTACTGTGCTCTTTTACCTTTCCAGCAGGGCACTGATACAAATAGAACATGGGTCACTTTTAGGATAACAGCACCCATATAGAAAACAGAGCTAATTTTTAATTTTTTCTTAAGAAATGCTTTATTATATTTTATTTGGACTTGGTAAGTGATTCTTACAGTTCTTGGAAAAAATTTAACAGTAATAAATTCGTATGATTCAAGATTCAAAATGTTAAGGGATATACAATGAAAACTCTCCCTCCCATCCCCGACACTGGCTGCCCAGAGGCAACCAATGGTATCTTGCATCTCTTCCATAGAATATTTTATATCCATACAAGTATATATGTACATATTCTTATTTCTCCCTCTCCTTTTACACAAATAGTGGCACACCATACCCCTTTCCACACATTTCTTTTTTCATTCAACAATATGTCTTGGATATTGTCCTAATTGGTACATAAAGAGCTTCCTCACTCTATTACGGCTGCATCACATTCTCTTATATAGATGCACAATAATTTAATCAATTCCCTACAGATGGACACAGGCTGTTTTTTTCCTTTTTTTTTCTTATGCAATTATAAACATTGCAATGAATAACCTCGTAGAGAATTCTTTATGTAAGTATATCTGTTAACAAATATGTAGAACTAGTACTGCTGAATCAAAAGAAATGTGTTTGTATTTTGATTAATATTGCCAGGCTGCCCTCCAGGAACGGTTTAGAAATTAACACTGCCACCAGCAATGCGTGAAATCACCTGTTTAACACAATCTCTCCCATATAGTGTGTTACCCATTTTTCTCTTTTTTTTTGCTAATTTCCTAAGTAAAAAAAACAAAACAAAACAAAAAAAACCTCATAGATTCAACTCACCTTTTTTGCATTTTGAGTAAGATTCATTCATTCATTCAACAAACATTTACTGAGTTCTTATTGTGTGCCAGACATTTTCTAGGCACTGGGGATATACCAGTAACCAAAGTCCCTGCTCTCATGGAGATTACATTTTAGAAAGGACACAGAAACAGCAAACAAACAAGTAAATACATTATGTCAGGTAGTGATTCAGTGCTGTGGAGTAAATTATGCAGGGGATAAGGTCTGCTTTGTGAGTAGATGAAAGGCTGGGTAGAAGAATGAAAATCACATTTTCACATGTTTAGAGACATATTTCTTTTCCTATAAAATGTCTTTTCAGATCCTTTGCCCATTTTTCTATTGGGTTATTATTCTTTTTGTTACCGAATATTATGGAACCTCTTTTATTTATTTGACATTTAAATACAGTATTAGAGAATGTGGATACCATTCATTTCACCCTACTTAATAATGACCCAACTTCTCAATAATCACCCAACTTCTAAAAGTTATGGCCACATATATTAAAATTTTTATTTTGGTTTGAGAATTTCAAAAAAATCATATTAGCTTTTAAGATAAAGGAGGACTTAGTATAATGTAACATATTCTTAGAACTCTTAGTCTAGGAACACAGGAGTCATACCACAAATGCAGAGAAGTAGTTTGAATACATTTTGCTTATTAAAATATATCATTAGAACCTCAACATCTTTCTATACAAATACTTGTCCATATGTTTTATTTATAAAACTTTCCTATGTTAATTATACATTTATGTGTGTTTGTGTGTGTACATATACACACACAGACAAACACATTTAACAATTTGAAGAATAAATATTACCAGGAAATACATTCACTGCTTTATTTCTGTAATAATAGTTAAGATTTACTTTGGCATTATTACATGTCAGATATTGCATACCTCATATATACACCAACTCATCTAATCCTCACAGTGCTTCTAAGTGGCAGATATTATTATCCCTATTTTACAATAGGAGACTAAGACTCAGAAAGGCTAAATAATGTACCCAAGGTCACAAGAAGTTGTCAAACCCAGGATTAGCTCTCTCACCTGTCTGACTGGGAAGCCTATGTTAGTAGGTCAAATTTAATATCCCAGCAAAATAATGAGCATCCTGAGAAAATGTGGGGAAGCACCAGGACATCTTACCTTGGCTAAGGTGAATCAAGGCATTGCTGCAACTACATACCTACACAAATGAAAGGTTGTGGTCAAAGCTAATAGTTTTAATTTAAATATATACCAGTCTATAAACCATCAAAGTACACTATTTCAAATTTTGGAAGTTATTACTAACTTCCCAAAGTCCTAATTGCAGAAAGCATGCAGAGATAAATCGGCAACCAGATGAACACAAACATTATTTTGAACAATTTCAAATACATGTGATTCCTACCTGATTTCATTTCTAAAAGTGTATTGTTATCAATTTCATGGTTAGCTTTTCCAGGCTGTGGAACTCGCAGTGGTATAATCTGAGGGACACATACTGAACCAGCAGTCATTTTCTCTCCTTAAATTAAAAAAAAATAGATAAAAAGAAATTCCAATGTGCGCCTATATCTGAACACAAAAGCTGAAGAGCCAGCACCTCATTTAAATGCAGCAAAACTAATAAAAACTGGAAAGAATATTGATACACCACCTACAAGTATTATTTAATTTTTAATTGGGATAACTATTACATTTCAGCTGTATTTTTGCTGTTGAGGTCTTGCGTGGGGTTTTGATTACCTAAATACGTCATTTCTGAGAAAAGAGCATGAATGAATGAGATGGGGGAATGGAGTTACTTTAAACGGGCAAATTAAACGAATGAGGCAGAACAGAGATCATCACTAATGCTCTGACCTGAGTTCCCTCTGGTTATCACCTTTTCTACCGCTTAGTGTGCCACCTCTCTTGGCTTCAGTCATCATAACAAGGGGAATAGAAGTAACTCTGTACATAGCACGAAATGTTAATTTAGAGCCAACTTCTTTGGGAAAGCTCCAGGTCCACGTCTCTGCAATCGTCACAACAGTGGTTCTTATATAGGAAAGCTGCAAAGACAATCTAGGACTGTAGAATATCACTTCTCAGCACAAAGGAAGTTGGCACAGTGACCAACAAACACAAGTCTCCCACTCCATCTACTGTACTTACTGTAAGGATTCCGTGGGCACTCAAGCGGAGGGGAAGGGGGAAAGCACTCCCTAGCAATATGGCGCCCTTCCGGGTTCTTCTCCGTGGTAAAAGCCCGCCAGCGCCAAACCGTCCACCCCCTATCCAAACCCCGAACGCAGCTCCCTACAAATATACGCTCAGTCCTTGAATAAAGTGGAACTTCTCTGGCGAACGACAGGACCCAGGCTGACAGTTCGACAGAGAAGTTACACTTTATTCAAGGACTGCGCTTGTATTTATAGGGAGCTAGGGAGCTGCTTCCGGGTTTGGATAGGGGGTGGAGGGGCCGTAGCTGATTGGACGGGGCTGAGCGGGAGGTGAGCCTTGACCTGTGACTGGTTGAGGTTTGGCGCTGGCGAGCTTTTACCACGGAGAAGAACCCAGAAGGGCGCCATATTGCTAGGGAGTACTTTCCCCCTCCCCCTCCGCTTGAGTGCCCACGGAATCCTTACACTTACAAATAATTAACTACCAATATGGAGGCCCTACTGGTCTTTTTCGGCGGGGAGAGGTGCAATAATTTTTAATGCATACAAGGTTTCTGAGAAAAAAAAAAAACCTCGCTTTAACACAGCAACCATTTAAATCTCTGTATTGTCCTTTAGAATTTCAATTATTGTGAATACGTAAGTTTTATTCAGTTATAATCTACACATTCGTTCCATTTTTATACTCTTACTTTTTGCACCTCCTTTTATTATTTGCAGTTTTCATGTACTTATGTAATCTTTTTTGTCAATTCGTGGCTAAGCATTTAGGCTATTTCTAATTTCTTTTTAGTTTTGCAATTCTAATAATGCTGCCTCGAACATCTTTGCAATTTGAGTTTTGTCACAGACAAAAGTGGGATAACTAAATTTAGGGGGTGAATTTAATGCCTTGTTGGATAGTTCCAGATCGAGGATCTGATAGCATAGCCAAAGCCCCTACTGAAAGTTTGGCTGGACTGGCGGGGGAATCGCCCATACTCATATTTCCATTCAAGCGAAAGGCACTTAAAATAAAAACAGTTGAAAAATGAGTTCTAAATAAATATGGGTGAGGAGGAAGTAATTTTCACAGCGGCAACTAGTTCTTGGGAGGCTGGGGAGGCCAGTGGGCCCCACGCACCACCACCCCACCCCCGCCCCGCCCCGCCCC